GAGCTCTGTTTTTGGGACCCATACCCCAACCCCACAATTTCTCGCCCAGAACCTACCAACGCCCCCCTCCTGGCCTGACATCCCCACCCCGGGAGAGCTCTGTTTGTGGGACCCCCCACCCCACAATTTCTCGACCAGAACCTACCAACGCCCTCCTCCTGGCCTGACATCCCCACCCCCGGAGAGCTCTGTTTTTGGGACCCCCCACCCCACAATTACTCGCCCAGAACCTACCAACGCCCCCCTCCTGGCCTGGCATCCCCACCTCGGGAGGACTCTGTTCCTGGGACCCCCACACCACAATTTCTCGCACGGAACCTACCAACGCCCCCCTACTCGCCTGGCATCCACACCTCGGGAGAGGTCTGTTGTTGGGACCGCCCACCCTACAATGTCTCCCTGGAACCCACCAACGCCCGCCTCCTGGCCTGCCATCCCCACCTCGGGAGAGCTTTGTTCTTCGGACCCCCCACGCCATAATTTCTCGCCCGGAACCTACCAACGGCCCCCTCCTGGCCTGCCATCTCCACCCCGGGAAAGCTCCGTTTTTGGGACCCCCCACCCCACAATTCCTCGCCCGGAACCGACCAACGCCCCCCTCCTGACCTGGCATCCCCACCTCGGGGGAGCTCTGCTCTTGGGACCCCCCACCCCACAATTTCTCGCCCGGAACCTACCAACGCTCCCCTCCTGGGACCCCCCCACCCCGCAATTACTCGCCCGGAACCTACCGACGCCCCCCTCCTGGCCTGGCATCCCCACCTCGGGAGAGCTCTGTTCTTGGGACCCCCCACCCCACAATTTCTCGCCCGGAGCCTACCAACGCTGCCCTCCTGGCCTGACATCCCCACCTCGGGAGAGCTCTGTTTGTGGGGCCCCCCACCCCACCATTTCTCCCCCAGAATCTACCAACGCCCCCCTGCCTGACATCCCCACCCCGGGAGAGCTCTGTTTTTGGGACCCCTCACCCCACAATTTCTCGCCCAGAAACTACCAACGCCCGCCTCCTGGCCTGCCATCCCCACCTCGGGAGAGCTTTGTTCTTCGGACCCCCCACCCCATAATTTCTCATCCAGAACCTACCAACCCGTCCCCCCCACCGCCTACATCCCCACCATACCCCTGGAAGAGCCTCTGTATTTTCGACCCCCCCACCCCACAATTGCAGCAGCACTCTCCACTAACTCCCCCCTCCTGGCCTTGACATCCATCCCCACCCCCGGAGAGCTCTGTTTTTGGGGCCCCCCACCCCACAATTACTCGCCCAGAACCTACCAACGCCCCCCTCCTGGCCTGGCATCCACACCTCGGGAGGACTCTGTTCATGGGACTCCCACCCCACAATTTCTCGCACGGAACCGACCAACGCCTCCCTACTCGCCTGGCATCCACACCTCGGGAGAGGTCTGTTGTTGGGACCGCCCACCCTACAATTTCTCCACCGGAACCCACCAACGCCCGCCTCCTGGCCTGCCATCCCCACCTCGGGAGAGCTTTGTTCTTCGGACCCCCCACCCCATAATTTCTCGCCCGGAACCTACCAACGCCCCCCTCCTGCATGGCCTGCCATCCCCACCCCGGGAAAGCTCCGTTTTTGGGACCCCCCACCTCACAATTCCTCGCACGGAACCTACCAACGCCCCCCTCCTGACCTGGCATCCCCACCTCGGGGGAGCTCTGCTCTTGGGACCCCCCATCCCACAATTTCTCGCCCGGAACCTACCAACGCTCCCCTCCTGGCCTGGCATCCCCACCTCGGGAGAGCTCTGTTCTTGGGACCCCCCACCCCACAATTACTCGCCCGGAACCTACCGACGCCCCCCTCCTGGCCTGGCATCCCCACCTCGGGAGAGCTCTTTCTTGGTGACCGCCCACCACCGCTATATCTCGCCCGGATCCTACCAAACCGCTGCCCTCCTTGCCTGACATCCCCACCCTGGGAGAACACTCTTCTTGGGACCCCCCAACATCGCAATCACTCTCCCCGGACCTACCACGCCCCCTCCTCGCCTGGCAATCCCACCCCTCGGAGAGCTCCTGTTTCTTGGTACCCCCCACCCCGACAATTTCTCGCCGGGAACCCGGAATCTACCAACTTTCCCCTCCTGGCCTGGCATCAGCACCTCGGGAGAGCTCTGTTCTTGGGACCTCCCACCCCACAATGTCTCGCCCGGAACCTACCAACGCCTCCTCCTGGCCTGGCATCCCCGCCTCGGGAGACCTCTGTTCTTGGGACCCCCCACCCCACAATTTCTCGCCCGGAACCTACCAACGCCCTCCTCCTGGCCTGGATTCCCCACCTCGGGAGAGCTCTGTTCTTGGGACCCCCCACCCCACAATTTCTCGCCTGGAACCTACGAACGCCCCCCTCCTGGCCTGGCATCTCCACCTCGGGAGAGCTCTGTTCTTGGGACCCCCCACGCCACAATTTCTCACCCAGAACCTACCGACGCCCCTCTCCTGTCCTGGCCCTTCACCTCGGCAGAGCACTGTTCTTGGGACCCCCACCCCACAAATTCGCGCCCGGAACCTACCAACGCCCCCCTCCTGGCCTGGCATCCCCTCCTCGGGAGAGCTCTGTTCTTGGGACCCCCCACGCCACAATTTCTTGCCCGGAACCTACCGACGCCCCCCTCCTGGCCTGACATCTCCACCTCGAGAGAGCACTGTTCTTGGGACCGCCCAGCCCAGAAATTCTCGCCCGAAACCTACCCACGCGCTCCTCCTCGCCCCCCTCCTGGCCCGGCATCCCCACCCCGGGAGAGCTTTGTCCTCGGGACCCCCCACCACGCAATTTCTCGCCCGAAACCTACCAACGCCCCCCTCCTCGCCCCCCTCCGGGCCCAGCATCCACGCCCCACCCCGCAATTTCTCGTCACCTGTTGACGTATTCCATTTCCTCGATCCCCCACCACGTCCGACCCATGCGTCGTCCTGCATGGGCATCCCCACCCCGGGAGAGCTCTGCTTTTGGGACTTCCCACCCCAGAATTTCTCGCCCGAAACCTACCAGCGCCCCGTCATCCCTGGCCCACGACACGTCTGTCATGGGACCCCCGAACCCTCGCCCCCCCCCCCGCCTCGACCCATGACCCTGTTCCGGCGGGTTCGAGGCGCACACACCCGACGCATGACACCTAGGTCGTCCTCTGTCTTTTTGTCACCGACACCCTGCTTCGCTCGGCGACCTCCTGCCTTTTCCGCTCTTCATCTGCGAAGCACTTGTTGCACCTCTGCTTCCCATCCGGACCCTTCGTCGTCCGCTTGGCCAACCAGCTGCTGAAATCCCTTCTTTCGAAAGCGTCCTTGCAAGCTATGCGTCTCCACCATCCGCGCGGGAGCTTCGCGCCAGCGACGCAGCGCTTGCACTTGCGGTCTCGATCGGCCACGCCGCCCCACATCCACTTCGAAAAGCATTCACGCCGCTGCACCACCTCGCACCCAACGCAGGCCTTCCCGTCCTTCCTCGCCGCAGTGTCCCGTTGTGCAGCCGCAGCGTCTACGCACTGGGTACACGCAATCGACGCTTTGGACACGTTGCGCAACGTGTGAGCCGAAAACTCAGCCTTACTCTTCGACTCCCCACATTGTGAGCATACCACCCGCTTTGCCTCTTCGGCACGGGCCTTCTCCTCCTCTCTCTGCAATCTCTTACAAGCCTTGCATGTGGGTTCCTCGTTGAAAATAGTTTCCGCTTTCGCAAGTTGATCTAGTAACTTCTGCTCGCCGCAGCGCGAACACTGCAGGTGCTTCTTCAGCTCCTCGCACTCAAGGCGCATTCCCCCTTTGCACCGGGCGTTCCCTGCCTTCTCCCATTGGAAGTCTACGAACGCATCCTCATACTTCCGCCCCTCGCATACGTAACACTTTCGCCTCTCGGGACAGTCCACGCAACGCCGTGACGTGAGCTTCGAGCTGTGGTGCTGGGACGCATGGGAAGCATCCTGGCCCTTCCACAGAAAGCATTCCGCGCACTGCCACGGCGTGCCAATGCTCTTCTTGCCTTCCAAGCACACCTTGCACACGCGGCGACCGTCGTCCCGGCTCCACTGCCCGAGCGCGTACTGGTTCTTGTACTTCACCGACGAGCACAGTGCGCACGTCCCTGCAGGCATGAACTCCTTCTCGATTGCGTCCCAGTCCATCGGGTCCCCCCGCAACACCTGTAACAGTAATCCGGGCCCCTTCCGCTCCTTCTGAGTGTACGGCGCACGGTCGAAAGGCCGAAATATCAACATGTCTTCGCGGCGACGCACGCGCGTCAGAGCCACATAACTCGACAACGGCGACGTGCCCCCGCCAATCCTGAGGTCCACGATGACACCCTGCTTAAAAGTCTGGCCCTGTGCTGAATGGGCGGTGACTCCAAACGCTGGGGCCAAGGGGAACTGCCGCCGCTTCACTTTCAGACGCGGGCACGGCCTGCCCTTGTCGACGAACCAATCTTTTTTCTGCGGGGTCACTGGGTACAGGCCCGGCGTCTGCAGCCCCTGTATCGTCCACTTGCACGGAATCGCGTTCCCTGCGTCATCGCGACCCTCATCGAAGAGGACAAATATCACTTTCGGCGTCTTCTGCAATATGGTCTCTCCCCCCCGGGAGACGCGACCTGCTCCTTCGTCGCCATCACACGCCCATGAGCGCACGGTCCCCACGCGTCCGCGGAGTAGATACTTGTCCTCGCTGCGGTCGATATGATCTGTGAGGGCCATAGGCATTCCCTCCGCGACTGGCAAAAAACCATACAGGTCTCCGCTCTCCTTGTCGTGACGCTGCAGCCAGGCCATCTTTTGGCGTGGGAGATCTGGCCGCTCTCGCAGCGCATCTGGTGTCGGAGTGTCGCGCGCAGTAACGTACAGCAGAGGCTTCTCGTGCAGTCGGGCGCATTGCGACGCTGGGAGTTTGTTCACCTCATACTTCACGTCGTTATTCGGGAACACCCCGGGGGCGCACCGGAACTTCGCCGTGTGAATGCGCTCGTCATCTGGACCGTCGATGACGAGACGGCGGCGTTCGCGCTCATGCTTGCACACCGCACATTCCTGTCTGCGTAGTTCCTTCGGGGACATCGCGCGCTGACGGCGTGCTCCGACAGTTTCCTTCTCTGAGACCCCTGCGGCGTCGCACAGCGCCCTACATCTCGCGTTCCCACATCCAACCGCACCTTGGAGCCAACTCCGCGGGACACCAGTATCACGCCCGTGCAAAAATGAATGCGTGTCTTCCGTGAGGTCTCCTCTGCGGAACTCCTCCTGCACGGATTTCAGCCAGGCATCGTCGCAGCGCTCGCACTCCACTAGCTCCGTTACCCCCTGCACGCCCTCTTTGCCTCCCCCCCACAAGAGAGCCTGCCCGTGTAGCACTGGCGGGAGCGAGGTATACTTCCGCGCCGCCGCGATGCGCTCTGCTGGCACGTCTGCAAGGAACCCTCCGTCCGGAGGGGCCAGCTGCCAAAAGTCTCCGCTCAGAACGATGTTTAAACCGCCGAAGGGTCGCGTCACTCCGTCCTCCCCGCGCTTCTGGGTCCCAATGTCCCGAATAACGCTGCGAAGTTTCTGGTCCACTTCGGCGAGCAGCCGGGCACTCACCATGCTGATCTCGTCTACGAACAACCACCTCCACTGCAACACTCGCTTGGCTGTCTCGTACTGCAGTTTCACATCTTCACCCTTCTCGTCGCCACGCTTCACGGCGGGGATGCCGCAGGCGTGGTGGATGGTGTCTCCACCGAGCAGCTGCGCCATGACTGCCTGGAAGGCCGTGATCTGAGAATGACCGCCTATCGTCCATTTCATCAAGTCTTCGAACACCTCCATCCGCAGAATACGCAGCACGTGCGACTTCCCTGTGCCGGGCCCTCCGTGCATGCACCACCGCAGCGGGTCACCCATGCCCGCGCCCCCTCGTGCCTCCCCGTCCAGCTCTTGCATCACCCTCTCTGCTACCTGCTTCACCATTTCGAACTGTTTCGCGTTGACCACGCGTCGGCCTGTGTCCTTGTCAGTCCGATACTCCAGTTTTCTGAGCCACTCTACAATCTCCTGTGATGTCGCCCCTGCCTGAGCCTCCACCTTCCCACTCCTATCCTCCGCAGCCACTCTGTCGGCCATTGACTTCTCCTTGTTGCGCGATGCCCTTGCTGCGGCCTGAACAGCCTCCAGATCACATTCGACGCCTCTGGGCCACGCGTTTCGCACCTCACTCAGCGACTTTTCGTTTGGGCGCTGACCCCGCACCTCCTGGGCTTTGGCCATGCCTGCCTTCGAGTTCTCGTGATGTGTACAGCCACTAAGACCACCTCCCACCCCACCAACCTCTTCTTCACAACTGCTGTCACCGTCGCCGTCGTCCCGCTTCCGACCCCCGACGCGTGACTTCAGAGCCTCGTCCAGCTGGTCGAATCCAAGCTCCAATTCTTCGTCGCTCACGTCCTCGTCACTCCGAGCCTCGTCATGCTCCGCATCCCTCGGACGCACGCGATACACGCTCAGGAAGTTCCCAACGTACCGCGCAGCTTCTTCCGATTGCACTCCGCCGTCCAACCACGCAACCATGGCGGCTTCCCGCGTTTTCGCGGCCCGTCGCAGTGCGCCCGCGAACGCCACGTGATTGTCGGCCTCTGACTGTCGCAACGTCCACGGGTGGAAGTAGGACAGTACAATTCGCGCTGACCGCTCAGCTTCTCCATGTCGGCTGCGAGGCACCGGTGCCCCGAAAAAGGTTGGCGCCATAGGCCTCTTGTTCCTGACAAGAACCCACGTGTGTCGCAGGTGCCGGCATCCATCAGTGTCCGGGTACGCCACCCAATCCTTCCCTGCGTCGCCCTTCACCATGTAATCCACCCCAGGCACTAGCTCTTCCGCCTGCCCCTGACTCCGACCGTTTGCCTTTACTTTTTGCTCCCCTGTCGCCGTCAAGAACGCATGGTGCCTGTCCAGATCGGCGTCAGCGCCCCTGAGACTGGTAGGGTACGACACGAGCACGGGCCTCCAATACGTAGTGAACTCGCACGGCGACAAGTGCCACAGGCCGTCCCGATTTGGACGAAGCCCGTACAACATGGCAACGCCCCTGACAGTGACTTTCCGCCGCCTTGGATTTCGCATGTCCACCTCCGCGAACTGAGCCTTGCGCCCTCCGGTTGTGCCGTCGGACAACCTCTCAACCGTTTCTACGTACTCGCGTCCGAAGAAACTGGCCGTCTCACAAGTCTTGATCGACTCTGCCGACGTCACATCCGTCTCCACGGCATACGCTCGAAGATTCGCACGCTCCACTTGGCCGCGAACGATGCCTTTCCCGTAGGCGTCGCTCATGATGCGCGTCGTCATCCGCTTACCGACGTAGTTCGCGTTCTCCCCGTGCAACTGCCGCCTGAGCTTCTGGATCCCTTTGGAGCACTCGCGAACTTCATGGAAGGCCATAGGCTGGCGCTTCGTGCAGTAATCGCACGCGTACCCTGCCTGGGCGTCCTGAGCGATCTGGACCACCTTTATGATAGCTGCGTCGTTCTGCTTTTCCGCACATCCCTTCCCGCACGTGCAGCTTTCGCTGGTGATCGGGAACCTGTACGGCCAACGCCCCACTCCTGGAAAGACATCCCCACCCTGGGAGAGCTCTGTTTTTGGGATCCCCCACCCCTTCTCGCCCAGAACCTACCAGTCCCCCCCTCCTGGCCTGACATCCCCACCCCGGGAGAGCTCTGTTTTAGGGATCCCCCACCCCGCAATTTCTCGCCCAGAACCAACCAACGCCCCCCTCCTGGCCTGACATGTTCACCCCGGCGGAGCTCTGTTTTTGGGCCCCCCACCCCACAATTTCTCGCCCAGAACTTACCAACGCCCCCCTCCTGGCCTGACATCCCCACCCCGGGAGAGCTCTGTTTTTGGACCCCCCACCCCAACAATTTCTCGCCCCAGAACCTCTACCAACGCCCCCCCCATCCGGCCTACATCCCCACACCAGGGAGAGCTATTGTTTTGGGACCCCCCACCCCACAATTTCTCAGCCAGAACCTACCAAAACGCCCCCCACCTGGATGACATCCCCACGCGCCTGGCGAGCTCCTGTTCTTGGACCCCCCACCACAACAATTTCTCGCCCGGAGAAACCTACCAAAGCCCCCTCCTCCTGCCCTGACATCTCCACCCGTGAAGAGCTCTTGCACGGGAGAGCTCTGTTACTTGGGACCCCCCACCCCACAAATATCTCGCCAGAAAACCTACCAACGCCCCCCACCTGTCCTGACAACCCCAAACCCGCCTGGAGATCTCTGTTATTTGGGCCCCCCACCTCGCAAATTTCTCACACGAAGATTCTAACCAACGCCCCCCCCGCCTGGCCTGACAGCCCACCCCGGGAGAGCTCTGTTCTTGGGACCCCCCACCCCACCATTTCTCGCCCAGAACCTACCAACGCCCCCCTCCTGCCACCCCCGTTTCTGCCATCCCTCGGACGCCCATCCCCCCTGCACGGTTCGGTTTCGTGCGTGCGTGCGTGTGCGTGCGTTCGAGAGGGCCCGGGCGCCTCCTTCTCCCCGCCGTCGCCGGGTGTTCCCCCGTGCACTGCGGCCTAACTCGCACTTGCTCGTCCAACTTCTGCCCTCCCGCCAGCGCAGTCCCTCCGCCTGGCCGCCGACGCACCAAGTGTGTGCGCGTGCTCGGCTTCGCGAGACGATCCCGAGAGGCTCCTCCGTGGCCCTGGCCGGAAGACGCAAACAACTGCACACGCCCGAGCCGTGCCGAGCCTGTTCTTGGACATCCGACGCTGCCCAAAACTTGCAACATCGTAGCAGATCACGACCCGAACCGCAGGACCCCCTTCCTGCGCCCCTCTTGGAGCCGCCTCGATCTGTGACTGCCCCATGGGCCCGACACCGAGCGCCGACGCCCGGCGCGACCAAACTTAGCGACGCCAGGATCGCAGGGCTCCCCACGGCGGAAAAGGCCCTCGGCGGCGGCGGAGGCCAGCGGCGTCTGCGGCTGGCCGCGCGAGACTCGGGCCGCGCCTCGCGACCGGCGGCGCCGGCCATGGACCGCAGGCCGCCGCGCGGCGCCCAGGCGGCGGGGGGCCGAGGCCCGCGGGCCGCCGCGGCGGCCCCGTGGCGCGCCATGCGCTCGGTCCAGGCGGGGAGGGAGGCGAGGATGGCGGCCTACCAGGGCGAGGAAAGCGAGGAGGGCGAAGAGGGCGAGGAGGGAGCCCTCCCAGGACGAGAACGGCGAAGACGGCGAGGACGGCGAGGATGGGGAGGATGGAAGGGATGACGACCTACCAGGACGAGGACGACGAGGATGGCGCGGACGGCGAGGACGGGGAGGACGGGGCCGTGCGCTACAGCCAGACAAGGCAAGGGTGAAGGCGAGGAGGACTGCCCACCAGACCGCCCCAACCACAACCGAAGTCCCAAATGTCGGGTTGAAGGGCGTGCTGCTTCCGCCTGTGCCTTGTCCATGCTCCTGGGCTCCCCTCCGCTGAGAACCGAAGGCGGCCCCGGGCCTTCGGGTTGGGCTGAGATGGTTTGGTGGGCAAGGAGAGGAGGAGGACGCAGAGGAGAAGGAGCAGCATGGGGACGTACGATCTCTGGTAGAAAGAGTGGCAGAGCGAAAGGTGCCAGCGCACAAAGGCGCCCAGAGGGCAAGTCGGAGATCTCTGAGACCTCGCGATTCTGGAGGATGCATCGAGCGCCGCGGCAGTATCAGAGCGTTCCAGGACGCTCTGGAACCGTCCTAGACGCCCCACCTGTCGCACGCGTGGAGCGAGTTTCCTCGCGACAGCAATGGCGCCTCGGCAGGACCGCCACGAAGCCCCCAAGATGCTCCTGGACCTCTACCGGGGGAACCTTGTTCTGCGTGCTGCCCCCTTCCATGATCGTGACAACGCCGCTGGGCATCGTTTCTGGCTGGGCTGGTGGGGCCACGCGAACATCTAGCATTTTCGGAAATACATAGGAAACCATCGGAATCTGTCGGAATCCGCAAGAATCCATTGAGATCCTCAGGAATCAGTCAGAACCCTTGAATCCCGGAGGGACCCGTGGGAATCCTGAAGACTCCCTCGTGATCGTTGCGAAGCCATAGGAATCAACAGGAATCCCCAGGACTCCACGTGGAATCCTCAGGAATGCTCAGGAATCAATGACCTCATCGGGATCATCAGGACTTCAAAAAGCATCCCAGGGGGTTCTCGGGATCCCCTGGGATTCCCAGGAAAACCCAGGAATGACCGAAAACCTTTTTAGGAATCCCTCGTAATCCTTAGAAATCCATAGGAACCTTCAGAAGCCATAGAGATCCTTAGGAACCCCCAGGAATCCCCAGGAATCCACAGGAACATTGAGGAATCCGCAGGAATCCACAATAATCTTCGGGAGTCCGTAGGAATCCACAAGAATTCGATGTAATCCGTAGGAATTCTTCAACGGACAGTGAATACAAACCAAAGACAATCTGCGGAGAAGGACGACGAGGAGGAGCGCAACGCGAACCTCCAGGATGGCCGTCCGACTTATCGGAAACACGTATACGGAAAAGCAAAACGCGTTCAACCAAACCCACTAAGCAACTGAGCCTCCCTGAATTTCTCTGGGGTCGGCGGCAGAGGCGGCAGCCTTTAGATAAAAATATCCCCCATAATATGTTCCCATATGTTCTGGGTTTCTGTCTTCCCCCCCACTGCCCATATTTTCCCATATTTTCTGGGGGATCGAGGATTAATTGTGTCTGTGTGTTTCTTTCCCTCCTGAACACTCTTCGTCGAACATTGAAGGCTCTAGGGTGCCCAGGGCTGATGTTGGTCAGTGGGGCCAATCGGGGGATGAGAAATGTCCGTGGGCCACCTGCCAGCAGGCCAGTTCCTTAGTTTGTGCGCCTACTGTCGAGCAGATGGGATCGGAGGATGGCGCCAGATCCCCTGACACATCGGCGACACATCTCGCGGATGCATCCCAGACCCCCGACGTCGTGAGAAACTCACGACGTCGGCCCCCCGAAGTCCGGAGACCTTCCCTGGGACCGGTGTTGCATCCCGAGTCGTTTTTTGACGCTCCCGAGGCCCAGCGAGGGCCTCCAGAGGCCGAAAATTGTCAAAAACCTTCGCCGTGAGTTTCTCGCGACGTCAGAGGTCTGGCATCGGCGACGTCGGCGATGCATCGGCGCCAGCGGCGTGGGGTTCGCGGCGGGATCCTCCGTTCCCCGCAACTGCGGCCCCGCTTGGGAGGCCTGGGTGCCTTGCGGCCTCCGCCTCCAGGGGCGCGACGTCGGCGGCATCGAACAGCTTCTCCATCACCACGAAGCCTGGAGGAACAAACAACGGCACAAATGTTCTCAAAACGTTTCAAACATGTGTTTACATATATAGCAAACCAATAAATCAATACAGCAATACATAAATAAATACATACATCAATCCATTAATACTACTACTACTACTACTACTACTACTACTACTACTACTACTACTACTACTACTAATAATAATAATAATAATCATAATAATAATAATAATAATAATAAGACTAACATGTTTGACACACGTTTTTAGACGTCTGGAAATTATTTGGCAGCACGCTTCCTTGGGCGCCCGAATTATCCGGGGTAACTCGGGTCTGGGGTAACTCGGGTTTGGATTCCCGAAAAACGAACCCGAGTTAGCCCTGACCCGAGTTACCCCTGATGATTCGGGGCTCTGGACGCCCGAAATATCCGGGGTAACTCGGGTCCGGGATAACTCGGGCTCGGATTCCCGAAAAACGAACCCGAGTTAGCCCTGACCCGAGTTACCCCTGATGATTCGGGACTCTGACTTCCTCTCCATTAATCGACTTCCACACCCAGACATGCGACGTCCTGATTTTTTCAGGACGGCGTCCCTGGAAGTCCAGACCCTTTCCCCGGGGCCGGTTTTTCGTCCTGAGTCGTTTTTTGACGGTCCCGAGGCCCGGCGAGGGCCTCTGGAGGCCGAAAATCATGAAAAACCTCCGTCCTGAATTTTTCACGACGCGATCATGTCTGGCAAGCATAGCCCAGACCCTTCGGGAGGCCCGCGCGGAACGCTCGGATCGGCACCGGACCACCCCGAGGGTGCCCGCGGCGCCCGACGCCGCGCGCGCCAGAAGACGGGGGGCCCAGCGCCGGCCCAGGAGCTCCGCGCGGGCACGCGATTGAGCAGGGACCGACCGTCCCGGCATTCTTACGGAGGAGGAGGACAGGGAGGAGGAGGAGGAGGAGGAGGAGGAGGAGGAGGAGGAGGACGAGGAGGAGGAGGAGGAGGGGGAGGAGGAGGAGGAGGAGGAGGAGTGGATGGGAGGATGTGAGGAGGGGAGGGGGGGGAGTAGTGGGAAAGGGTGGGAATAGGGTGGAGAGGGATATCCGATGACGACGAGGGGCTCCTCGGCGGACCTTGTCTGTCCCGTCGCTGTCCTATCCGCGTCGAATCCAGGTCGGACTCGTCGGATCCGTGCCGAATCCGTGTCGAATCCGTGTCGAATCCATGCCGAGTCCGCGCCGAGTCCACATCAAGCATGCGTCGGACACAAGAAAAGACACCAATTTTGGGGACAGGCGAGGTCCCCCGAAGATGCAACGTAAGTATTCCTGTAACCCTACCACGAAATGTTCCTAGAACCCAGAAATGTTCTAAGAACAAAAGCAAGGTTCTTAGAACATAAGCCCGATGCGTTAAAACAAGACAATCTCAACCAGACACGTTCTAAGAGCATTTCGCGGAAACCACACACGGTCCTTAGAACATTGTTTGGTAGGGCTGTAGGCGAGCCAGGACGCTTCGCCACTGCTTGATCCGAGTGCGCACGCTCATGCTGCCTTTTTGTTTGGAGGAGGGCCAGTTGAGACAACGGCGGCTTTCATGTCTGGCCCAAATCCGCTCAGGATCAGTCCCTGGACCCCTCCTGGGCTCCATCCTGGCTCCGCTTTCGAGGAGGACCTGTCCGTAGCGACGAAAGTCTTCCGGGATGCCCCAAAAGGACGGACAACGCCAGGTAGGGCCCTCGTTCTCTCTTCCCTCTCTTTCTCCTCCTCTTCCTCCTCCTCCTCCTCCTCCTCCTCCTCCGCCCTCCTCCGTCCTCCTCCGTCCTCCTCCTCCTCCTCCTCCAACCACCTCCCACTTCTTCCTCCTCCTCCTCCTCCGTCCTCCTCCTCCTCCTCCTCCTCAGGCCACCTCCATCCACCTCCCTCCGCTTCCGTCCTCCTCCTCCTGCCTCGCTCCTCCTCCGTCCTCCTCGCGTCCTCCTCCTCCTCCTCCTTCGTCCTCCTTCCTCCGACCTCCTCCTCCTCCTCCTCCTCCTCCTCCTCCTTCGTACTCCTCCTCCTCCTCCGTCCCTCCTCCGTCCTCCTTTTTCCTCCTCCTCTTCCCCAATCCCCTGTCCTCCGCGCCTCTCCTCCTCACTCCTCGTCTTCCCCTCGTCCTCGTCCTCCTCGTCCTCCTCCTACTCCTCCTTCTCCTCCTTCTACTCCTCCTCCACCTCCTCCTCCTCCTCCTCCTCCTCCTCCTCACTCCGCCTGCTCGCCTCGTTCACGCGTTCCTACGCCTCCCCCTCCCCCTCTGATGGTGCGCGATCCCATTTTTCCCACATGCGTTTCCCTTCCTCTTTCCCCCAACCCGATCCGCCTTCTCCTCTGCGCAGCCCCGATCCCCCCCACCCTTCCCTCCCGCCTCGCTCGCCCACTCCTCCGCCCAGCACTTAGCAGGCCCGCTCCACGGACTCTGCTGTCCCCTTTTCTTGGGAACGCACAGCTGCAGGCGTGGACTCCGAACCATGGGGAGAGGCACTGTGGAGTAGGGTGCCAGCCGCGCTTCTGCCCGGCCGCCAGAAGGCACACACCATCATCACCTACAGCGCCATCGTCTCTGGAACCCTGCCAGGACTGTGGACTAAGGCTACGCCTTGCATGCCCAGCTGGCCTGCGGTCCGTTGTTGCGGCCAGACCGACTCAACAAACACGGTAGGAGTTCTGGCATCCGCAGCGCGCAATTTGTAAGCAATTTCCGGGGTCCCCCTTGGTAGGGTCTTGGCAACGGCTGTCACGGTCCATCTTCGTTCCGCTGCAGAGGCTACTCAATATCTGCATTGCGTCTTCGTCATCTCTGGCACTCTGCTGAGACTGTGTGTGTTAAGGCTATGCAGCGCATGCCCAAATAGCCTGCGGTCCGTTGTTTCGGCCAGGCCGACTTACACACACGCACGCACGCACGCACGCACGCACGCACGCACGCACGCACGCACGCACGCACGCACGCGCGCGCACGCACGCACGCACGCACGCACGCACGCACGCACGCACGCACGCACGCACGCACGCACGCACGCACGCACGCACGCACGCACGCACGCACGCACGCACGCACCACACACACAAACACACACACACACACACAAAAACACACACAAACACACACACACACACACGGCGGGAGTGCGACCGGGCGACGATGGGGCAATCCATAGGGCAGATGGGAAGACCTACCCCCCTCCTCCCTCTTTCAATCCTGCGCACTTCGAAGTCCCCGCTTTGATGAGTTCAACTCGAGGTCAGGCGTTCACCTCGACGTCGCAAATTTCGAAGTCGTCCCGCCTCGTGGACATTTGGGTGCGACGTCGGCTCCCGGACCGCCGTCGCACTGCCCCCGCTGCCTTCGCCCGCCGAGCCCCGCTGCGCCGCCACAGTTGCCTTCGTGGCAGCAGGGTGTCCGCGGCGGGGCCCAAACAGGGCAGCCCAAGCCGGCTGGCCCAACCTCGGCTACACGCAAGAGTGGCCGTGGGTAAGAGTGACCGTTGGTGCGCGGCTTTTTGTGGGCCGCGGGGGAACCAAACACAAGCGAGCACGACGCTGCTGTCGCACCGCACGCGACGATCGGGGGGCCCCAATGGCCGCGCACCAAAGGTCACTCCGGCGAAGGGTCACTCTTACGTGTAGTCGACAACCTCCTCTCCTGAGCCCCTGCCGGCCCAGCCCCAGGCAGCCACTGACTGTCTATCCCATCCCACCTCGTTCACGCGCTCCTCCGCCCAACCCCAAGCGGGGCCGTTTACTGCCTCCCCCCTCCACCTCCAATGGTGCGCGGTCCCCTTTGCCCACATGGACTTCCCTTCCTCTTTCCCCAGCCGCGTCAGCCTTCTCTTCCGCGCCTGCGCAACCCCCCCTGCCCTTCCTGCCTCGCTCGCCCGCTCCTCCGGCCAACCCCCGGCAGGCCCGCTCCACCGACTCTGCTCCCCCCCTGCCTTGGGCACGCACTGCTACCAGCGTGCGAACAGTGGGGAAACGCACTGTGAAGTATGATGCCAGCCGCGCTTCTGCCCGGCCACCAGGCGGCACACAGTATCATCACCTGCGGCTCCATTCTCTCTGGCACTCTGCCAGGACTGTGGGCGAAGGCTGTGCGGTGCGTGCCCAGCCGACCTGCGGTCCAGTGTTTCGGCCAGACCTGCTCAACAAACGCGGCAAGAATTCTTTGGCATTCACGGTCCATCTCCGTTCCGCTCCCAAGCCTACTCGGTACACCGGATTCACTTCTATAGCGCTCACTTCTATAGTGCTCACTTTGAAATTGTGGTCCGGAAGGGGCCGCACATGCAGGCACATGCCGCACAATCGCATGCACATGCCCATGCAAATATACAAAAGCCTCAACAGCATTGCCGCACATGCGCGCACATGCCACACCGTCCGACGCACAGTCGAATGCACGGTCAAGCAAAACACTGAAAGCATAGACGCACATGCCCGCACATGCCGCAGAGATGTCGCAGGCGATAGTGGCCTGACCACCTGAGCACGGGCAATATTCGCAACGCCAGAGTTGCTAGGATGTACCAGGCGAAGTTGAACGGACCACCAAGGGGCATGGCATCTCCGAAACCAAGAGTGGCGATGTACACAGGACAAGGAGACATACACCAATGTCCCAAGACAAATCCCCCCGAGGTTGGTGATGTGAGGAATGTCCCTCAGGCGAAAGGTTGGCCTGACCACCATGTAGGCAAGAGGATCTCTGAGGACATAGTTGCGAGGATGTAAGGGACTGTGAGTGGGATAAATGAAAAAAAAAAATAAAGAAGAGAAAAATATAAGAAAAAAACCGCTGAAGATGAGGAGGGGCAAAAAAAGGTGACCATGTAAGAGAGAGATCCTGGTCTAGAGTGGTCTGACCACCTCAGCCCAGGGCGTCTCGGAACCCAGAGTTGCGAGGATGTTTCAGGCAGGAGTGGCCTGACCACCTGCTCCGGGCATCTCGGAACCCAGAGTTGCGAGGGTCTCAGGCGAAAAAGGCCGAGACACTATGGAGCAGGGCATCTCCGAGACCAGAGTTGCGAGGATGTCTCAAGCGAAAGTGGCCTGAACACCTCAACTCAGGGCATCTCGGGCGAGGATGTCTAAAGCGAAAGTGGTCTAACCACCTCAGCTCAGGGCGTCTCGGATCCCAGAGGTCCGAGGATGTCTCAGGCGAAAAGGGCCGAGACACTATCGACCAGGGCATGATTGAGATCAGGGTTGCGAGGATGTCTCAGGCGACAGTGGCTGACCACCTCAGCTCGGGGCATATCGGAATCGAGACTTGCGAGGATGTCTCAGGCGACAGTGGCCTGACCAGCATGGGGCAGGAGATCTCTGAGGTCAGAGTTGCGAGGATGTCTCAAGCGAAAGTGGTCGAACCACCTCAGCTCAGGGCGTCTCGAAACCCATAGTTCCGAGGATGTCTCAAGCGAAAGTGGCCGGGCCACCCTGGGGCAGGGCATCTCCGAGACCAGAGTTGCGAGGATGTCTCAGGCGAAGGTGGCCAGATCACCTCATGTCAAAGCACGTCGGCCTCCAGATTGCCGACGACGTCTCACGCGGAACGGGCCCGACGCGAACGCGCCGGCGCCCGGAGACGAACGCCGGCCCCGGCATTCTTGCACGTCCCGCACATGCCCCGCACAGGTACGCACAGTATTCGCACAGGCCGAGCTCGCCAGTGGCCGAGCCAGGCTAGCGATTCCGAGATTCCCTGAGCTCGGGCCGTCAAGCCACTTTCGCCTGAGACATCCTCGCAACTCTCACCTCCTCCTCCTCGTCCTCCTCCTCCTCCTCCTCCTCTTCCTCCTCCTCCTCCTTCTCTTCTGGCCGAGCCGAACAGGCGGGCGGGCCGGCCAAGCCGGGGGCGTCCGCCTCCTCGGCCCCCCCTCCTTCCCCCCCCCTCCACCTCCTCCCCCCCCACCCCTGCTTCTCCGGCCGAGCTGAGAAGGCGCGCGGGAGAGTGTTTTACTAGGAGGGCACGCCACCGCCAGCTCACGAACCGGGCGAAGAACCGCCCCCGCCAGCAGCGGGCGATTCTAAACGCACAACAAACTCTTTCAGGAAGCCCTGGCACGCCCCAGGTTAGCTCTGCGAAGGCCAGGAGGCATTGGAGGCACAGGGGTCCCAGACAGCTCCTAGGGCATGAGCGTGCATGTGCATTGGGATGTGCACGCATGTGCGCCCGCGCGCTTCACCGCATGTGCGTGCATGTGCGGGCCCGCGCGGCCTCCCGAAGAGAGGTTGCACAGGCATGTGCGTGCATGTGCCGATGACAGATCTGCGATTCACGAACACCTCCCGCATGTGCAGGCATGTGCGCGCATGTGCGTCGGACTGTGCGTGCATGTGCGTATGATGGATACATCAAAACACAGCGCACATGCCCCCGCACATGCCCGGGCACGACGTGCACAGTAGGAGGTCCATCCAAGAAGGGCGGCACAAGCCTGGCACATGACTGGCACATGCCGCGCACATGCGCGCACATGACAGCGCAAAAGCGGCCGCACATACACCCACCCAGGGGTATAGATGTGAGTGCGGTGTATCTGCACTGCCACCAGATGACACATCATCTTCGTCGCTACTGGTACTCTGCCGAGACTGTGGGCTAAGGCGACGCAGCGCATGCCCAACTAGCCTGTGGTCCGTTGTTTGGTGCAGGGCGCCACTCTTGCACAGTCCCAGTGTGGGTTGCTAGCCAGGGCGCGCCTTCGTCAGCAACCAACAGCAGCAGGCTGCGAGTCGAGGCTTCGTTCAAGGGCGGCCCGCTCGCAGACCTGACAGTTTGGTCGACGATCCTCCTCCGATCGAGCTGGTTGGTGGAACACCCCGACTCTGGAGTGGTCCCACAAAGCAATTTCGCTCGACATACGTTTACGTGTGCGGTGCCGCGTGCAAGCTTACCGCACCGAGCGGCAGCGCTGGACAAAAAAAGGTCAGCAGAATCCCCAGCAGCGTTGTGTGGGAAACGCGGCGCCCCCAGGCCCCTGGTGTCATTTTCAGCCAGCGTTGACTCCAAATAGATAGGAGAAATGAGGAGGAGGAGGAGAGGAGGATGGGAGGACGAAAGGAAGACGGGAGCAGGACGGAAGGAGCAAAATCAAGCAAGCGGAAGCAAGCAAGCGCAAGCGAGCAATAGCAAGCAAGCATGCAAGAGCAAGCAAGCAAGCGAGAGCAAGCACGCAAGAGCAAGCAAGCAAGTGCCATTGGAAAAAGGGGGGGATGCCATTGGAAAAAGGGGGGCGTGCCATTGGAACAAGGGGGGGTGCTACATACCAATTACTTCTGATGAGCTAGGACTCCTATAGTTAGGGCAAATCTGTTTGGAGAAGTAGCAACTCAATAACAGGCGATATGTCGGCCCCTATCCCTGGCTTTGGGAGGTTTTCGAGTTGACCAGATTTTTTCTTGGGGGGAGGCGTCCATCCTCGAGAGGGGTGCGTCCGAAGGTTCCCCCCTTGGGGTGTGTCCCGGATTTTCCTCCCTGGTCGGACCCCTCTCAGTCTTCGTCGAACAGTCGGGGGGCTGGGGGAAAACATCGCCTGCGACCCAGAGCGACAATCGACAGGAGGATCGGAGGAGGAGGACGAGGAGAAGGAGGAGGAGGAGGAGGAGGAAGACCCTCCTCCTCCTCCTCCTCCTCATCCTCTTCCCCCTCCTCCTCCTCCTATCTTCCTTCCCTCCTCCTCCTCATCCTCCTCCTCCCCATCCTCCTCCTCTGCTTCCCTCCTCCTCCTCCTCCTCCTCCCCCCTCTCCTCCCCTCCTACTCCTCCTCCTCCTCCTCCTCTCATCCATCCTCCTCTCCCCTCCCATCCTCCTCCTATCCTCCTCCCCCCCCTTCCCAATCCCCCTCCTCCTCCTCTCCTCCCTCCTCCTCCTCCTCCTCCTTCCTCTTCCTCATCCTCCTCCTCCTCCTCCTCCCTCTCCTCCCCCTCCTCTCATCATCCTATTCCCCTCCGGCTCCTCCTCCTCCTCCTCCTTCTCCTACTCCTCCTCTCCTCCGCCTCCTCCTCTCCTACTCCTCCTACTACTCCCTCCTCCTCCTCCTGCGACCCGCAGGACCCTCCTCCGACCTTCCTCCCCCGACGGGGCCGTGGCGCCGCAGCCCCTCCAGCACGAGCCCCGCCAGCCGGCGCCTCTCCGCCCGGGGCGCCGAGCGCCACCCCGCACAGGGCACCACGTGGCCCGAGGCCGCCGGGCTCGCGCACGGGCCGTGCGTGTAGAACTTCGGCCTCCGCACGGCCTCCTCCGGCGGAGGAGGAGGAGGAGGAGGAGGAGGAGGAGGAGGAGGAGGAGGGGGAGGAGGAGGAGGAAAAGGGGGAGGAGGATGGAGGAGGAGGAAGGAGGAGGAGGGGGAGGAGGGAGGAGGAGGGGAGGAGGAGGAGGAGGAGAAGGAGGAGGGGGAGGAGGAGGAGGAGGAGGAGGAGGAGGAGGAGGAGGAGGAGGGGTATGCCGGGGTCGCCCGAGCTGTGGCAGGACTTCGGCCTCCGCACGGCCTCCTCCGGCGTCGGCGGCCCGAGGCTCTCGAGGCTTCTTCGGGCGCGCGCGCGCGCGCGGGGGCCGTGCGTGCGGAGCTTCGGTGAGGTCGGGCACGTCCTCCTACGGGCGGACCTTCGGAGGAGGCAGGTTTCCACATAGCCCCACAGCTGCTCCTGGACAAGAATGATAAGAAATCGTCCCCAGACTATTTTTTTGACCATTTCTAGGGAAATGCCCGACTCAAAACTTCGGCCTTCGCACGGCCTCCTCCGGCGTCCGGGCTCGAGTTGCGAGGCTTCCGGGCGCCGTGCTGGACTTCCGGCGGCCTTCCCGCCTCGGGAGGGGGCTCTCCAGCAGCCGCGCCTCGCCGAGGGGCGTTGGGGGATGCCGGGCTCGCCCCGAGCGGCTGCAGCTCCTCGCGGCCCTGGCCCGAGGAGGAGGAGGAGGAGGAGGAGGAGGAGGAGGAGGGGGAGGAGGAGGGGGAGGAAGGAGGGGGAGGAGGGGGAGGAGGATGGGGGAGGAGAGATGGGGGAGGCAGGAGGAGGAGGAGGAGGAGGAGGAGGAGGAGGAAGGAGGAGGAGAAAGGAGGAGGAGGAAGAGGAGGGGGGAGGAGGAGGGGGGAGGAGGAGGGGGAGGAGGAGGAGGAGGAGGAGGAGGAGGGGTATGCCGGGGTCGCCCGAGCTGTGGCAGGACTTCGGCCTCCGTGCCGCACCCTCCCCGGGTCTGCGGCGATGTGATGGCTGCAGCCAGCGTTCCTTCCCGATCTCGGAGCGCCCACCACCCACCACACCACCCCAACCCAACCCGAAGGCCCAAGTTTGCAGTGGGGGCTCGGCCACAAGAAACCTCCGCAAGGAACCCGACCCTGAAATACGCGATCTGTTCGGTGAAAATCCACATGTGTCGATCGAAAATCGTCAAGATCTGATTGGGAGCCAATCAGAATCCAAGAAACCCAGGGCACCCTGGCAAAATCCAAGTGGTTTCTTGGCACGCGCCCCCACTGTACCCTCCCTTCCTCCCAGTGGGGAGGAAAAACTAAAAAAAAAAAAAAAAAAAAAAAAAAAAAACACCTGTGGAACCGGTGCCCCCCCCAACCCGATATCGATATTTGGGTCTTCTGGTTGGGTTGGCTCGGCTGGTGGGGGCCCTTCTCGAGCCCAGGGGCCATCGAAACAGGATCGGGGATGCGAAACTGCCCCTGGGGAAGGGGTCGGGACCTCCAGGGCTGCGGATTGGAAAAATCACATGGGCGGGTGTCAGGATCTAGAAGAATGGAGTTCGGCACACACTTGTCTGTCCCATGCGCCCCCCCTGAGATCCACGCGTTGCAATATTTCTGTCGTACACACACAGCGTTTCGGGCCCCAGGGCCATCACATATCCATCGCGCTCTCAAAATGGCCCGCAAAGGTGGATCTAGGGCTCGGGTCGTAAATTTTCGCGATGTCGTAGCTTTGTTGGCAACGTCGGGTCTCAGGGGCACAACACACACAACACAAGACAACACACACACACACACGCAACACACACACACACACACACACACACACACACACACACACACACACACACACACACACACGTTTTGCGCCGCAGCCCGCTGGTCCAACACAGCGAGAACGTTGCCAGTGGTGCTGCGCGCCCAGTGTAACAAAGAGGCATACACGGTCATCATACACAATCGCGCGCACACACACACACACGATCACGCACACGCCTAGACACCTAGACACACAGACACACAGGCACACACACAGACACACACACACACGCACACACCAACGCACGCACGCACGCACGCACGCACGCACGCACGCACGCACGCACGCGCGCACTTTCAAGCCAGCGGCGAAGAGGGGCCTCAAGCGCGAGCAGCAGAGGGAGGTGCGAATTGCGGTCGAGCGTAGCCGAAAGCGCAGTGGAGGACGCGCCAATTACTGACGTGAGATGGTGGGTGGTGGGTAGGAGGGACTGCAACCCAGCTCGGGTCGGGCGAAAGGGGGGGATAGCAAAGGGGGGGTTTTTTTTGGGGGGGGAAAAAGAATCAGCTCACGTAACTGATTTCCCCGGCGCCTCCCGGCGCCGGGAGGCGCCCATGTATCGAGGAATGGGCCCGGCGGCGGGGCCGAAACCAGCTGCATGCAGCAGATTTCGTAACCCCCCCTTTCCCAATCCCCCCCTTTCGCCCGGCCCGACCAGCGGGCGTGCAGCGGCCACAAGCCGAGGAGCCGCCGGGGCGAGCTCGACTCAACGTGAGCTGAAGCGCGAGGCGTCTGGTGCTCAAGGCCACTCCGTCATCGAGCGATGCGCACGCGGCAGACCAGGGTGCGGGCTCGCAGGTTAGGCTGAGGTCGGGCATGTCCTCCTACAGGCGGATTCTGGACGAAAAACAGAAAGTGGTCAAAACATCAAAAACATTCAAACATGGTGAAAAAATCGTCCCCTGACTATTCTTCGACTGTTTCTGAAGATTCCCCCTGTACAGGGACAGGCCCGACTTACGATTAGGCACACGAGGTGTGGGAGGGGGCTCCGAGGGAAGCCGCGCGAAGGGACGCCATCCAGGGCCGACCAGAGGCAAATCGGCACGAGCACACGGCCATCGCGCAGCGATCAGGAACGCCAGAGGGCAACGAAGGGGTTCTCCCGGCCACGGCGGATCCCAGCCAAAACCCAGCTCCCCGACCTCGCTCTGAAGGGATCGCCGGAAAACCAGGGCCCCTCCTGGGCCCACGCGGTTCTTACTTTCAGCGACTCCTCTGTGAACCTCCGAACGTCCCGATGTAAGCGCCGATGCTTCTCCTTCGGTCCTCAGCGCCGCCGTCGCCGAACGGCTTGATGCCCAAGCGCTCCGCCTCCTTCGGGAAAGCAGAAGTCGGCGGCGCGCCCGGGGGGGAAGCGAGAAGGGACGGGCCTTCTTACAAGGCTCGCAAGTCCCTCTGCCTTCTGAGAAGCTTCCCAAGCCTTCCCCGAGGACACGGACGACTTCTCAGAAGGCGCGAGGGCTTCTGAGAAGCCCCGCCGCCTTCTGAGATGGCCTTCTCCTTCTCCCTTCACCCCCTCGCTCGCCGCCGAAAAAGCGCACCGCTGAGCACAAGCAGGCCTCCGGCGAGCAGCGCGCGCCAGGGCCCAGCGCGCTCTGCTCGCCAGGTCGGCGCCTCCCGGCCCCGCGGAGGAGAAGGGGGAGGAGGAGGAGGGGGAGGGGGAGGAGATGGAGGAGGAGGAGGAGGAGGAGGAGGAGGAGGAGGAGGAAGAGGCGCCGACATCGGAGTGGCCGAGAGAGGTGCCTGGGCGCCGACCCAGGAAATCCACGTGGACCTCCGAAGCTCCGCATACGTGCTGTGCTCCCTGAAACCGACGCGTTGCATGTTGCACCCGTCGCTCTTCCGCCAATCTCGGGCCCCGGTGCCATCAGGCTCGAGGAGTGGCGGAGAAAGAGCGCGTCGAAGAGCGGCGAAGCAAGAGGAGGAAGAGGAGGCGGAGGAGGAGGAGGAGGACCAGCGAGAAGGAGGAGGAGGAGGAGGAGGACCTCCCCTATCCTCAAGATTGCCGAAACGTGGCGAAGGAAGACGGCGTCGAGGGCTCCAGCCGCGATGCCCCACGATGTTGCATGTTTTTTCCTCGGAGCGTCAGACCTCTGAGTTCACATGCAAGGGCCTGGCTCTGCACCCGTCGGTCGGAAGATGTGGGTAGAAGCATGAAAGAAGGGGCCCAGGGACACACAGATAAATACACACGAATAACAGGATTCCCCACATATTCCAGTATTTTCTGGGTTTTCGTCTCCCCCCCCCTTCCCATATTTCTCCCATATCTTTCGGGGAATCGACGATTCAGGTGTCTGTGGTGTCGTGTCTTTTACCCTCCTGAGTGTAGAAGGAAGGCGCTGGAAGTAGACTGGCTTCCGCCCGCCCCCTGAAGCCTCCTCCTCCTCTACTCCTCATCCCTCCCCTCCATCCCCCTCCCTCTTCGTTCTCGTCCTCGTCTCGTCCTCGTCCTCGTCCCTCGTCCTCGTCCTCGTCCTCGTCCTCGTCCTGTCCTAGTCCTCCTCCTCCTCCTCCTCTCTCCTCCTCTCATCCGCCTCCTCTCCTAACGCTCGACTCTTGAAGCAGCACGGCGGCTAAAGCAGCGTGAGATCCGGGAGTCCAGGAAGGCCTACTTTCTCAACGACCGGCGCGCATCATTGGGGGAAGAGCGGCAGGATCGCCGCCCTCACGTGTCGCAACTCCAGACCTCTCCGGAGGGCCTCTGCCCAGGATTGGCAAGGCCGGGGACCCAGGCCGAAAAAGAGCGTCCTCAAGAGCATGAGGACCCTCCGCCGGCCAGACTGAAGTACACTTGAGCGTACCCTCCCCCAGGGAGCACCCAGAAATCCAGTAAACACGCAGACATTAGGGCCCCCTCCCGAACCGACGTCGATCTGAGGAGGAGGGGAGGAGAAGAAGAAGGAGGAGGATGAGGGGGGAGGAGGGGGTGGCAGGAGGAGGGGGGGGGAGGAACTGGAGGAGGAAGGGGAGGGAGGAAGAGCGAGCAGGAGAAGGGAAGGAGGACAAGGGACAAGACTCGAAAAGGGGGTACGTCAGAGCGGAGGAGGAGGAGAGGAGGAAGGAGGAGGAGATGGGGGGAGGAGGAGAGGAGGAGGAGGAGGCGGAGGAGGAGGGAGCGAAAGGAGGAGGAGGAGGAGGAGGAGGAGGAGGAGGAGGAGGAGGAAGGAGAAAGGAGGAGGCCCAACTGTCTCCAGAGGGGAGCCCAGCCCTGGCGGCGAAGGCCCCTCCCCCTCCGGCCGCCCGGGGGGGCCACGGAAGCAGGGCATCCGCAGGGCATCCGCACCGGCACGCCAGGCGCAAGACGAAGCCAGGACGAGGACGACAACAGTCGAGGACAGGACGAGGACAATCGAGGACAACAACAAGCGAGGACAACAGCAATCGAGGACAACAACAATCGATGCCAGGCACAAGACGAAGCCAGGACGAGGGCAGGACGAAGCCAGGACGAGGACGACAACAATCGAGAATCTTCGCAGGCCCAGAGGTTGCCACCAACACCCATATCCGCGGTGTGCCTCCACCGAGGGCAGAAGATCCCGATCTCAGTGATGGTGGTAACATTCTGGCTTCCAGGGTAACCGAAATATTACCACCAACGCCTGTGTTGGTGTTGGTCGGTCCCTGTCCGCGGCGTACCTTTTCTTGTGCAAGCTCTGCGGCACCGCCTGCACCCCGGGCTCCGCCCGCTCCGGCCGCCTGAGGCCCCGCCCTCCTGTGCCGTCTCCCTGATTAAAGCTGTGCGTAGCCCGCCTAGCTTCTAGCGGAAGAGGTTCGTTCTCGCCCTGCCGACCAAAAAAACTGTGTTGGTGTTGGTGGTACACCAACACCAACGAAATATTACCACCAACACCAACGCAGGGGCTTGCCTCCTGCGGAGGCAAGCCCCTGCGTTGGTGTTGGTGCCGATTTCCAGGCCTCCGGAATCTCTGAGATCCGGCGGCTCTGGAGAATGCATCGGGCGTCGCGGCCTTCTCAGGGCGTTCTGGAACGCTCTCAGAGCGTTCTGGAACGCGCTGGCACGGATCAAACCTCGTCCTGGCCCGGTCCGAGAGCGTGCCTTCCCTGAAAGCCGACGTTGCGACAGCATTGCGACGCCGCGAAAAATCACGTCCGGAGGCCTGGACCCCACCTTCGTGCCGGATCGGTCTGCTGTGCATGCCCCGCGGCGCGAGCCCAGGGCGCACACGCTGCCACGCCCAGCGCGACAGCGTTGCAACACCCGGACCTCGTGCCTCTCCCCAGGTAGACCGGCGCGTTCGACTACTTGCAAAGAGCCTACTCGCAAATGGAATGGGTCCCCCGCGGGGGCTCTACGACAAATTACATCAAGGCAGACATGTGTTTTTCGGACGTTTGCGAGTAGACACCTTGCGAGTAGTGGAACGCGCTCGGTGACCAGGTCCTCCGGGTCCATCATCACGCCCACCTCGAAGCCCGCCTCGTTGACGACGCGCCGCGTCTGCCGGCCGCAGCGGACACCGCCCCCCGTCGGCCGCGCCGCGCCGCCGCCGCGCCGCGCCGCCAGCGGCAGCAGGGCGCCTGGCGACGCCAGCGCGCAGAACGCCGCCGCCGCCGCGCGCTGATTGTTGCCGCGATGGGCACCGTCCTTCGGAGCACGCGCAGAGGAGGAGGAGAGGAGGCGGAGGAGGAGGAGGGGGAGGAGGAGGAGGATGAGGAGGAGGAGGAGGGGAGGAGGAGGCGGAGGAGGGAGGAGGAGGAGGGAGGAGGGGGAGGAGGAGGGGAGGAGGGAGAGAGGAGGCGGAGGGAGCGAGGAGGAGGAGGAGGACCTCTCCCCGGGCGCGCCCTTTGCCCAGCAAAATTCCAGGCGAAGCCCGCCGTGGCGGCGAGGGCCTCCCGGGAGGCCCGGCCCAGCAGGGCGAGCACGAGACCAGGGCACGGGCAGAGTGAAGTCGGGCCTGTCCCTCTACAGGGGCAATCTGCAAGAACAGCCCAAAAATAGTCTGGGGACCACTTTTTGGAGTATTTCTGTTGGCCGTTTTGGGGCACTGTTGGAGTGTATGTCTTATTTGTCGTCGCTTTTGGAGTACTTTTTAAAACTTGTCGTCGAAAATCCTCCCTGTAGGGGGACATGCCCGACCTCAGGGCAGAGGCGCCCCTTTCCTCCTCCCAGCTCCGCCGCCGCGCAGGCCCCGGCCCGCCGCCGCTCCGCCGCCGCGCCGCCGCCGCCCAGCCGCCCCGCCGCCGCCGCCGCCAGGCCGCGCCCCCCGCGCAGCCGCGCGGCGCGCAGCGCCTGACTACCTACCAGACCACCCCAACCCAACCCCAAGACCCGACTTTCGGGTTGGGGGGGGGTTAAGGGTTCCACATGTGTTTTTTCGATGTCTCCCGACCCCCCCCCCACTGAAAATCGGGGATAAAGCAGTTGGGTTGGGGAGGTTTGGTGGGTGGTGAGCGCCGGGGACGCGGCCGAGGGCAGCGGCGGGGCCGCCGCGAGGGACCCCGCGGCCGCGCCCATGGCGCGCGCCGGCGCCGGGCAGCGCGCGCCGCGGGGGCGCCGCCACCTCGAGCCCACGAGAAGCACGAGAGGACACGCTGGCACTGCGTGCTTTTCTGCGGGGGTGCCCCCGGCCGACCCGAAAGAACAACACAAAATCTTGCAGCCCCAGACATGATCGCGTCGTAAAAAATTCAGGACGGAAGTTTCTGTATTTTTGGCCTCCAGAGGCCCTCACCGGGCCCTGAGACCATCAAAAAACGTCTCAGGATGAAAAGCCGGCCCATGGAAAGGGTGTGGACTTCCGGGGGCGCCTTCCCCTCCACCGTTCGTTGCTAGTTTGGCACAAGTAAGCTTGGATCAAGCGTGCTTTGTTCGAGGGGCTGATGCAAAGAATTCCACGTTTTTAATACGGGCATGCCACGGCCAGTGCCACGTCCACCTTGCCGTGCTCCTTGGGTTGCGGGACATCGCCCCTCGTTTGCCGTGCGAACGTGTGGTCTGCCGTGCTACTGTGTGGTCTGGCGTGCTCCTGTATGGTCTGCCGTGCTCTTGTGTGGTTTGCCGTGCTCCTGTGTGGTCTGCCGTGCTCCAGTGGGGTCTGCCGTGTCCTGTGTGGTCTGCCGTGCTCCTGTGTGGTCTGCCGTGCTCTTGTGTGGTCTGCCGTGCTCCTTCTTGGTCTGCCGTGCTCATGTGGGGTCTGCCGTGCTCCTGTGCGGTCTGCCGTGCGAACGTGTGGACTGCCGTGCTCATTTGGTGTCTGCCTTGCTCCTTTGTGGTTTGCCGCGCTCCTGTGTGGTCTGCCGTGCTCCTGTGTGGTCAGCCGTGCTCCTGAGGCGTCTCCGGTGCTCTTTTGGGGTCTGCCGTACTCATTTGGGGTCTGCCGTGCTCCTGTGGTCGGCCGTGCTCATTTGGGGTCTGCCGCGCGCCTGTTAGATCTGCCGTGCTCCTGTTGGGGAAACGCCAGCGGCGTTCGGGGTACAACAAAAAGGCGCGTTTATGTTGTACCCGCGCGCGGTCTGCCATGCTCCTGTGGGTTCCGCCGTGCTCCTGTGGCGTCTGCCGTGCTCCGGTGGCGTCTGCCGGGCTCCTGTGTGGTCTGCCGTGCTCCTTTGTGGTCTGCCGTGCTCCTGTGGAGTCTGCCGTGCTCCTGTGTGGTCTGCCGTGCTCTTGTGGTCTGCCGTGCTCATTTGGGATTTGCCGTGCTCATGTGGGGTCTGCCGTACTCCTGTGTGGTCTGCCGTGCTCCGGTGGTCTGCCGTGCTCCTTGGGGTCTGCCTTGCTACTGTGGGGTCTGCCGTGCTCCTGTGTGGTCTGCCGTGCTCCTGTGGTTTGCCTTGCTCCTGTGTGGTCTGCCGCGCTCCTTTTGGGTCTGCTCTGCCGTGCTCCTGTGGGGTCTGCCGTGCTCCTGTGGGGTCTGCCGTGCTCTTGTGGGGTCTGCCGTGCTCTTGTGTGGTCTGCCGTGCTCCTTTGTGGTCTGCCGTGCTCCTGTGTGGTCTGCCGTGCTCCTGTGTGGCCTGCCGTGCTCTTGTGTGGGTTTGCCGTGCTCCTGTTGGTCTGCCGTGCTCTTCTGTGGTTTGCCGTGCTCCTATGGGGTCTGCCGTGCTCCTGTGGGGTCTGCCGTGCTCATGTGTGGTCTGCCGTGCTCCTGCGCGGTCTGCCGTGCTCCTGTGGCGTCTGCCGTGCTCCTGTGTGGTCTGCCGTGCTCCTGTGGTCTGCCGTGCTCATGTGGGGTTTCCCGCCAGCTTGTGTGGTCTGCCGTGCTCCTGTGGGGGAAACGCCAGCGGCGTTCGGGGTACAACAAAAGGCGCGTTTATGTTGTACTCGCGCGGCAATCTGCCGTGCTCCTGTGGATTGCGTGCTCCTGTGTGTCTGCCGTGCTCCTGTGGGGATTGCCGTGCTCCTGTGTGGTCTGCCGTGCTCCTGTGTGGTTTGCCGTGCTCCTGTGGTCTGCCGTGCTCCTTTGTGGTTTGCCGTGCTCCTGTGGGGTCTGCCGTGCTCTTGTGTGGTCTGCAGTGCTTCTGTGGTCTGCCGTGCTCATTTGGGATCTGCCGTGCTCGTGTGGTGTCTGCCGTGCTCCTGCGGGATCTGCTGTGCTCCTTGTGTCGTCTCTTTGGTCTGCCGTGCTCGTGTGGGGTCTGCCGTGCTCCTGTGTGGTCTGCCGTGCTCCTGTGGGGGCAAACCAGCAACACGTGAAGAATTGCCCCTGACGGGGCAAACCAGCAACACGTCAAAGGTTATCCTGAGGGGGGCAAACGAGCAACACGCCAAGAAGGTGCTGAGGTGGTCGACCACCAACACTTCAATAAGTTACCCTGAAGCAAAACCAGCCACTCGCCAAGAAGTCATCCTGAAGGGGCAAACCAGCAACACGTCAAGAAGGTGCTGAGGGGACAAACCAGCAACACGTCAAGAAGGTATCCTGGGGGGGGCAAACCAGCAACACGTCAATGCGGTATCCCGAGGGGACCAAACCAGCAACACCACTGCCGTGCTCCCGTGTGGACTGCCGTGCTCCTGTGGGGTTTGCCGTGATCCTGTGTGGTCTGCCGTGCTCCTGTGCGGTCTGCCGTGCTCTTGCGGGGTTTGCCGTGCTCCTGTCGGCTCTGCCGTGCTCGTTTTGGGTCTGCCGTGTTCCTGTTGGGTCTGCCGTGCTCTTGTGTGGTCTTCCGTGCTCCTGTGTGGTCTGCCGTGCTCCTTTGGGGTCTGCCGTAATCGTGTGGGGTCTGCCGGGCTCCTGTGTGGTCTGCCGTGTTCCCTTTGTGGTCTGCCGTGCTCCTGTGGAGTCTGCCGTGCTCCTGTGTGGTCTGCCGTGCTCCTTTTTTCCGCCTGCCGTGCTCCTGCTCATTTTCTGAGGACGTCCCGAGCGAAAACGTCATTTTTAACATAAGAGGTTGTAGAACACCTCTGTCGGCATCTCATTTTTTCGAGGATGTCTCGAGCGAAACGCTCATTTTTCATGCATAACAAAAATTTTTGATATTTTTCAACATCCCGATTTTTTGAGGATGTCTCGAGCGAAACCGTCATTTTTTAAAAAAGACTTCTTAAACGATAGCCTCCAACACCTCGATTTTTCGAGGATGTCTCGAGCGAAATGGCCATTTTGGGGAACCTGACCGGACAAGAACGGGAAGCGCCGTTTTTTATCCACCACGTGCGTCAGAGACCGTATTGGCGAGAACGTCAGAGAAACCCATAAACGCAACAGAACAGACTAAATGATGGCCTGCCGCGTTCCGACGGCCCAAGACGGGCCAAGAGGCCCCCAAGATCGCTTTAAGATCGCCCAAGAGGCCTTCAAGATGGCCCCGAAACGGCCCAAGAAGTCCCCAAGACGGTCCCAAGAGGGCCCTAACACGGCGCAAGAGGCCTCCAAGACGCCCAAGACGTCTTCCAAGACGGCCAAGATGGCCTCCAAGACGGCTAAGATGGCTCCAAGAGGGCCCCACGACGGCCCAAGAGGCCTCGAAGACGGTCTGCCGTGCTCCTGTGGTCTTCCGTGCTCCTTTGGGGTCTGCCGTGCTCCCGTGGAGTTTGCCGTGCGAACGTGTGGTCTGCCGTGCTCCTATGTGGTCTGGCGTGCTCCTGTATGGTCTGCCGTGCTCTTGTGTGGTTGCCCGTGCTCTATGTGTGGTCAGCGTGCTCCCGTGGGGTCTGCCGTGTCCTGTGTGGTTCTGCGTGACGCCTGTGCTGGTCTGCCGTGCTCCTGCTTGTGTGGTCTTGCCGGCTCCTCTTGCGCTCTGCCGTGTCATTGTGCGGCATCTCCGCCCCGTGTGCGGTCTGCCGTGCGAACGTGTGGACTGCCGTGCTCATTTGGGGTCTGCCTTGCTCCTTTGTGGTTTGCCGCGCTCCTGTGTGGTCTGCCGTGCTCCTGTGTGGTCAGCAGACACAGGGCTGAGGGAAGGCTGGAGCAGTGCTCTGGTGGTCCATCACCCGCCCAGCTCCGTCCCCTCCCACTCTGGACCGATCTTGCGGGAAGCTGGCTTGTGGCAGCGCATCGCGCGTCCATAGCGTTCGTGTGCTTGCTTTTACCTCCTTTAATGTCTGCTCCACCTTTCCTTGAGACGCAGAAGCCTCCGAGCGCCGGGAGCAGAAATGATGCACTTTCGAAAAATCTGTTTGGATGAGTTTTGTTAGCGCGGCCTCGG